TTGTCTCATTTCATTACATCTTACAACGTTTCAGAATCGTTCAAAATTCGAATTTAAAATAAGAAAACCCAAAAAGGACCCAAAGGAGCGACCAAGGCTCTTTATGTAAATTCGTAGTCTGCAAAGGTAGAGTAATAGCGAGTGAGATTGCGACTTTCACGGTTCACGGGGAATCGAAAACCGTCAAATTACATCAAAATCGATAGTCAAAATTGCATTTGGGTCTTTTCCCATTCAGTCCAGTATCTAAAGTTACAAATGTATTCATTATAATGTGGTACGAGAGTCTTGGTGTCTGTACATACGGGGAAATATATAAAAAAAAATTTCTCCTCTTGGATCTTGCCCTCCTAACTCAAACACCTCCAGAACTACACCATGGGGGCGTGTGTTTGAGGTATTTCATAACTTTGGAGTTGGTAAGCTGGCTTATTATATATTAGAGAAATGCAATTTTATGTACAGAATGTTCTTTATGAGACAGAAGGGTTTTTCAGAAAAGTTCCATTTTATACATTTTAAAATCAAGTTATGATAAAAATGCAAAATTATCTTGAGGCAGAGGAATTTCTTCTCGAGACTAAGTTGTTCGGAAACTTTAGGCACTCTAGGAAGAAAATACTAATATTTTCAACGCTGGAAATATTTTATATTTTTCAGCTACAATTATATTTATCTACGAGTTAGCTATTCAACGCTGCACAAGTTTATTTAGTTTTGTTCGATATTATAACTGGAACTGGAGGGGGAGATCGCTGTTTAAAGATAAGACCCCTTTTATTTATAAGGTTTCTTAAGTAATTTTAAAATATAACCAAATAGTGTTTAAATTTACAAGATGAAAATTAGAATTAGGTTGTAATATCGTTTTCAAATGTTTACTTATTATGTTTTAATATTAAAGAATTCAAACATGCTCACTGGCTTCAGCCTCTTTTTTTGTCTGCATGGTGAAGTGACATTAGCTCGTGTGGTAATTCTGTAAGAAAAGTATTTTTCAAATAATAAAATATTATAATCCCTACACTGATGTCGATTAAGAGCATTGTACGTAATAATACTACCTTGAATATCTACTGACTGTGCTACAATATTTTTGTAGAGATTGCTTCAATCTATACTAATATTTTTTGTTTCAACGAGCTCAGGAACGACCGGTTCATATTGAAAAATTATATATGTCTTGGTTAGAGCATTTATAAAGAAAGGTTGCTCTGTCACTAGTAGGAGTGAATAACAGTGGGAAATGTGATAAATATTGGGAAAACTGCGAAAATCGACCAAGATACCCAAAAAATAGGTATGAAATAATGACATTATATGTCTATCTTTTAAGATTAACTAGCAAGAACCACGAGACGCAGGCGAAGTCGTGGGTAAGAGATTAAGTTTATAAAGATGAAAAGGTTTGCAAAGACAAATGTGGATGCCTAAAATAATCATTCTATGCGAAGTCACCGACACAGTTAGTTCATTTATATAATCCGTTAGGCTTTACTTGCAAAATACGTTGAAACTATTCTAATCTTGATATTATTCCTGACATCGAACGATATTACTTTGTAAGCGGTGTTCGAGTGAGATAGTAATAAACTTCAGACAGATCAACTTGAGTCAAATTGGACAGCGGTACAAAGCGGGCACTTGCCTTGCGTAATATCGTCGCTAAAGGTGTGAACTGGCAATATTAAAATTGTATTGTACGAGTCTATACTTGTAGGGGCTGAAGACAGTAATCATTCTCTCCTCTGACTTTAGACGTTTAACATAAAGAAGTCGGTAGAAGTTTTGCTCTTATTTACTTTGAAGTATTTATAAAGTGAAATATACACCGCCTTTGTGGGGCGTGGATTACTGATTTTATACTTAGTTGTCAGCCCCACTGAAACTTTTAATTTTCAGGATTCAACACCATGAGCTCTGCTTGAAAATATAGCTACTACATGAAGTTGTAGACTGATGGCTTAACGGCATTTTTTATTTTCATAGACGCCATTTTATTGAATACAAAATAAAAAAATAAAAGCCAAAGTTTCACTACTTGATACTAAATGTACATATTTTCTGTATGTGTGTACCCTTCTGCCTCAGCGAAATATTTAAATTTGTCACTTTCGAAATATATATGTAATTATTTTAGTCTTTCGGGCGACATGAGCGAGAAGAAAACTAACTTAACTCAGCTCCTCGATTGCTCCAAGAATTAATTTTTCAAGCAATCGAGACCTAAGACGAGACGATACGTCGAGAACCTCTTCTCGCTAACGTCGGTCGAACAGCCCGAAAGCCGTGAAAGCCTTACACAATTTATTAAGCAATTATTTTGCTTAAATTTCAATTAATGAGAGTTTTTTTAGAATTGCACAGATTACCAACAAAACGAAAATATTATTGTATTTTTGAAGCTGCTCAGATTATGCAAAGTAAGCCAAATTACAAACGAAAAACCAAAAATATGAAACATATTCTGTTTACCAAGAATACGATAAAAGGTAATGTTCTTATATGTACTCACTCGTAAATATGAGGAAGAATTCTTTGTTCTAAATTGTCACTCGTTTCCCCCTCAGAGTTGTATTATTTTTTGTAGCAATATACCCAGTAGAAACGACCAAATAAAGAGAATCTTTCATCTGTGGAATCGTAATAATGGATTCTTTTCACCTGTCATCTGTTCCCGTTTCAATTCTAATATCCTTTTCGTTGTTTATCTCGATCTATTGTGTTTGAAGATATCATCTCGCGAGAATACTTATTCATAATAATCTTCCGGGAAATATTCCACACTAGTAACATTTGAGTTTTGTTTTATTTATCACACAGATGGATGAAAATCTTATATATGTATATTAGAAAGGCCATTTATTAACATTATTGTTATATTTAAAAAGAAGATTTTTGGCAATAAATTTCAGATTGTCGACGACAGAAGAAATAACAAGATTAAAAGTAGTCGCAGTCGATCATAACGCACTAATTTTGGTGCTCCAAAGCAAAACTTCTGGTGTGTCTTTTTAAATTTCTTTATTGCTTATTGGTATTGACACAGCTAGACAATAAACTTACAATAATTACATATTTACATTATTTAATTGATTATCATTATACAACATTAATACATATGGTTTAAAAATACCCTATTATACACTTAAGTAAAGATATTTATGATAAAGTAGACAAAAAACTAAAAGTAAAGCTTTCTATATATTATATTCTATACATAATAATTAAGATTGAATATAACGAAAAAAGGCGATCTATGTCTTTTAATTGACATTCCAGAGAAAAAGAAAAGAAATTATGTTTACTATATTTAGATTTTACATACAAAGAAATAAACAAGTTTTTTTATTTGAAGCCGATCCATCGATTTCGGTCTCAGCCTATTGGTAAGACAAACACATAAAGTAAGGTAAAGTAAAAGTGAAATTAGTATCTCCAGTATATTACATGCGAACTCAAAACCCGCATTAGATAAGCATTACGTTAGATTTCACTCAATTCACCCCGTGAATGGATAAATGCATACAGTATCAATTCCTTTACAAACAAAAGACAGTTTTATACGTATTTTATATGTTACATTGATGTTATTTTCTAGGTATAACCTATACCTATATTATATAATATGTGCTCGGTTTGATAGATAGAATATCTACTTTTAATTATATTTTAAGCTTTAAGCTGCTTCACGATTTCGTTCACGTACTATAATTATTTTGGAAGCTAAATATGTTTTTTAAACCACGTTACGTCCCCTCACATCTGGACGTCGTTCTGCAAAGTTATTCTTAAAAGATAGACTTATATTGTTCTGGACATTTTATCAGATCATTTAAAGAGGAATAATTCTTTGTTATATATTTTTTGGGTGTTTAAACCATTTTTGCACTAGTATCAACACTCACAGAGATTTCCACCATTTACCGCTGTTTTTTCGCTCCCTATTAGTCACAACGAGATGTTTTATAGGCTAAAGTCTTCCTCAATAAGTGTTCTAACTAACATAAAAATAATGTTTGATTCGAACCAGTAGTTCCTGTGATTCGCGCGTTCACTGAAACAAGTTGTTAACAAACAAACAAGCTTTATTATAAGTTTAAATAGATTTAGGAGATTTCATATTAAAAATCAATACAAACTGGAATACATTTTAGTTTCTATGATTGTTTTATGTTTTTTCAATCTCCCGTGATTATTACACGAAATTCGCAGAAAACAAAAAATCATTGTCGGCAAAATGATTGCATTGTATCTCCCCTTGCATACAACCATCCAATAACAGGTGATATGTAAGCTATACTTTAAAGAGAGTTATTTGCAAAAACAAAATGCGTGTGGGCGGTTGTTTGTTACAAATTATCATCGTTGCGTGGAGTTTTCAAATTCGGTAAGTTGAGAATATATTTTTGGATAAATCAAGTTCTAAAACATTAATATTTTTCACATGTTATTGCAAAGGAGGAGAACAAAAATAATTTAAAAAATTTTTCCCGGGGGGGGATTTGCCGGGGCGCGCGGGGGGTTGGGGGGGGGGAAAACCCCGGCGGCGTTTTTTTTTCCCCCCCTTTTTTTTTTTTTTTTTTTTGTTTTAATTAGTTCTTATGTATAGTAATGGTAATATAAAAATGTGTGCATTTTCTTATTTATTGTCCGCGTTGTATATTATTTTACAAATATTAAAACGAACTATGGCACACGCGGATTACATTCACGACCAACAGGCGTTCCTAGTCTTCGTTTATTAATAAATTTTTATTTACTGCAAGCAAGTGATCATTTATTGTTCTACGTACTACCGTAACTAATTAATATGTTTCTCTGAAGTTCGAATTAAAGGTTTTGCCATCCAAAAAAATGGCGTATAAGAACACTTGAAAAATATAATATATGTCAAGTTTTTATTTTTATTTGTTACAGTAATAGGCGATTCCCCAAATTTAGTGAATAGAAAGAAACGGCACCTCTTCCCCTTGATCGGTTTCTTACAAGGATACAAAATGGGGCAAAACTTAGCTTTACAATTACCACCTTTTGTATTATCACCGGTTGTAGTGCTTCCTTCCATTAACCAGGAACAAAGTATTAATATTCAAACAAACGAAAACAACGAGGAGGCATTTGAACAAGACGATTTTCCTGAGAAACTTATCAAACCATTTTGTAATACCACAGGGAACTTAGATAGTGCAGTTAACGATCCAGATAATGTGAGAGAAATCAACAATAGTACCGAGTTAGCTGAAAGTGAAGATGCTAACTTAGATAAAGACATGTTTCGACAAAACACTATGACCAGTAATAATCCTGTAACCGAATCAAACATTAACGACAAAGAAAGTACTACAATAACGTCAGGCGATATAATTGCAACATCAGCAAAAATAGACGGTATACAAACCACAGCTCCTCCCGGATTTTATCCTACGGCGGTTATATAAAAATGATAAAATAGCTACTTTAACAATTACTGAAGCTCCTATAGATAATGATGTAATGCTTCCCTCAACGGATAATAACTGGCAAAAATTTTCAAAGGATGCCAATACAACTACTGATATACAAGTAGAAAGTAGAACGGTTTGGAATAATGATGTTTCCGTTCCTTCGCAGGGTGCCTACCAGATTCCAAAGCCATACTACTATTCAGATCCAATTAAACATTCAAATTTATATTATGGACGTCCATACTATCATGCATCGAAGAGGGATCCATGGAACAATTATTACTATTCTGAACGCAATCACCTGACATCTGAATTTCGACCAGTAGCTGGTTTATACTATGATGGGTATCTTGAAAAGTCACCCGTTAAAAATTCCGGATTTGTTCCTTACAATCATAATTACTTTTATTAATGCAGCAATGCCTTTACGCATATTATTTATTTGTTTTCGAAAACGTTAGTGTTACCTAAGTTGTTTATCATTATTATGTGGTTTTGTTTTCCCAATTAAAAATTTACTACTATACTATTTTTTATTACTTTTTGCATCAAAATCGCCGATTAACCCTTCCATTATGTTATTACAGTCACATACAACTATCTACATATTGTCATTAATAAACCCAAAGATCAATATCTCAGTACAAGGCTAGTCACAAAATAGATATATTATATCACTCGATAACAATCGAGTTGCTATGTTCTTGCAATCCTGGGAAGCACTCGAATTATATAAGTAGTTTCGATAGCCTTGTTGGTAATCGAAGCAACGAATGGCTAATAATTAACGGGTCGTAATTGTGATAGAATTCAAATTGTTTACAGTCGATTAACATTTTTTTGGAAACATTGTACTTCGTCTTGTGTATCTTACATGCGTGGTAGGAATATCGATATTACAACACACTAACTATTGTCTACAGATAAAAAAGTCCATGAAGTTTAATCGGGTTTTGGTTTTAATCTTTAGATTTAATAAGTCCGTTGATGAAAAGAACAGCAAGAATACAGTTGGGGACGAGCGCCATATAGATCAAGCGGTTAAACGATAGATGAGTGGGAAAGACCGTAAAGTAAAAGGACACTTTTAATGGTCGTTATACTGTAGTGTACGCACTTCTATACTTGTATCTTAGATAAAAAACGCCGATCTTATAGTCTGTACGTAGCCTAAATGATAAATTCGCGATTGGGACATAAATCTCAACAATATCAGTAACTGTAACCGATATAACTTTACAAGCTCTTCCATTGCTATTGTCAGGACATACTCGTAAAATAAGCGTCAGCTTTTGTACTTCTATTTGGGTGACAATGTATCGTTAGCAAATGAGGTGTTTTATTGCAGACGTTTACTGCGTATCAAGGAAACGAATTGGAAGTTAGTACTTGGGTACAATTGAGGAAGTAAAGGCATTATTTTTGACTGCATTCAATGATTTTCCATTAATAAATATAGCTCAAGTAGATATAATTTAGCCTCATTAGTCTAGTGTTGCTCGGTTACAGTGACAAAGTCCTGAGTTCGGTATTTAGATAAAAAAATATGAAAAATCATTTATTCACGTAGGTAACTAGATACCCTTATGAACGTCAAACCAGTTAAAACCCAATTATTCTAAATTTACATTTAATATCTGTTCTCAAAGCGCGGATGTAGAAAGAGCGAGAAGAACTGGCAAAAAACTCGCCGCCACTCCTTTTACCGCCAAGTTTTACTATATAAACTTTAAACTTTTTTTTTTCCCAGAGCGGATTCCTCCAAAACCTCAGATTTTTTTCGCTAAGCAAGATTTAATTACGTCATAATAAACCTTTTCTTAAAATTGGTTAAATATTAAGTGTTTTTTTTTTACTCAATATTACGTACCAAATATAAAATTTGTACCTACACTATGTTATGAGAGAAATAAACATTTCAAACACTGCTAAGTATGCTTAGAACGGACAAGTTGGCAAGAAACAGAAATAAGAGGACGGTGACTTCTTAAACATTTATTATTCACCTGACAGAGTCAGTCGCGTTGGAACTTTTCGTAAAATGCTCTGGAAAACCACTAGATTTTCGCTTAAAGTATTTTTGCGAACAGACGGTCGGTCTTAAACCACCTGAATCAAAGTCAGAAGTTTTTAATTGTGGTTATTGTTGATGCGAAATTCTAGTTGTACATTTTAAGCTGAACGGCGTTACAACTCGCGTCTCTTATAAAAGAATTTATTTTCGTGAAATTATTATAAGTTGAAGAGAAATTGAATAATAATATACGTATGTATAATCTAATTCATATACATATAAATCATTAAAATTTATTTAAATGCATTTAGAATGAAAATACACATACGACATGGGCGGGACTCGAATCGGCATCCACATTATTCCTTGCTGCTGCGCTAACCAATTAAGCTACCGTGTCCTAGTGTCAATTTATTAAAGAATCAGCGTTTTATATGCTGGGGACGCCGGTTCACTTACCGCCCGTGTCATACTTTTTTCAAAATAATTAAATCTTTAATTCATATAATGCAATCATGTAAGAAAAAAACAAAAAGTTTCAATTCATTATTTGTTTGCAAAGTTTATTATACTTTCTTGTTTGTAACCCTTTTTCGCTCGAAAAACTGCTTTTGTACAGTTTGGTATTAAGATTTTCTCAAAAAAAATCTATACATACCTACAAGATGAACGAAGATTTAAAATCTAGTATCTTTGTATCGGTCGTAGCTTCGCTCATTTTTGTTAGATCACTCATCAAAAATCATCATCATAAATAAAACTCTAATGCAACAGCACAGGGCACCTTCGTCGGCATCCTATCGACTTCAAGACTCGTTAACCATGTCCTAATGACAGGTGAATTAATCTGGGCTCCATCAATATTCCGCGCTGGTACCTGTCGCCTACGGAACCCTCAAACAAATAGTTGGCCAGAATAAGATATCAGGGGATACAAGTTTCACGCATTGACCCCTTTTTAAAGGTTAATGCCTTGAGTCCCCCTCGCCGTCACCTGAATACTAATATTATGTTTACGGCCTCAGGAGGTTTATGACTATATGTTGTTGGTCCCAGGGTGGTAACAAAGTGCTCTTTGATTTTAGGCTTTTATTTGACTGTACATTCTTGTCGCTACTACTACTCGTGTTAAGTATTGTCTGTGGTTTCACACAATATACAATACTTCGTTTGTACATACATATGTTACAGAAGTAACATATGTCGCGTTTTAAACTGTTTAAAATGTTCAATAATTTGTCTAGTGTAAACTACTTAATAATTTGGTTTTATATGAGTAATTTTAATAGTACATTTTTAAAGCGTTCTGAAAAAAAATTGGATTTAACTAAAATATATCGCGTTTTAAACCGTTAAATGGCTTTATTTGGATTAAGCTTCTTGAAGAGAGTTCTTCGAGAATTGAGAAACTGTCTTGTTTTTTTCTTCATTCTTATCGGAGATTGATTTTCAGTTTTTAAATTTCTTAATTACATACCGTCTGTAGTTTATGCGAGTACACATTTAAATAAATAATTTTAATGAACGCGATATATATTAGTTAACATTATTTGAAAATCATTTTAGCTTTTCATACAGCACCTATGGTCACGGGGAGACAATCGAACATCTCGAAAACTCAAGAACATTTGTATTTATTTATTTACTCCATTTAGTTATAAGTTTACTGTAAATATGTTATATTGGCAATAAAAAGTTTTGCACTTGAATTTTTGGATTTAAAATTGCCCCGAAAGCCAAAAATGTATACTTTGGATTTGGAGATGAAATCTGAGCCGAGTAAGATTATCGAGTGGATCGTCGTACTCGCACCCTCTAATCATCCAATGATTTATCTTTAGGGGAATGGAACAAAATGTATCCGAGAAGCCTCTTCTGCTTGTGTAATTCTGAAGATTCACGTTTGGAATAAAAAATATTTGCTATTTTATTGTTATGTATTTTTGGTTCCAATAAAAAATAACACAGCGTTATTATCAAACTCTTATTATAATCATATATCTAAATGAGTTACGATTATTGTGTGATTGATATACCTATTTCCTTTATAAAAGGCAATTGGCAGTCGCATTTTTTGTGTCTGTTGTGCTATAAGGTCAAACATTTGGACCAAATAATATTTAAAGTTTCTGTAACTGTAATATTTTTCACATGGTGATGTGGCATACTTTTATAATACACATCGCACATTTTATATTGATACCGTATATATATATACGGTATGAATATAAAATATATGAATATAAATATATTCTTTAATTATATAAAAACAAAAACTTAACATTAAGCTTCTATATATAAACATATAATATTAATTACGCCACACTTTCAATATATAAAAATTATAACTAACTATATTATAGTGATAATATATAAATTAAACATCTATCTGGTTTGAAAAAAATACACGGCCGGGTCTTGAACCGGCATCCGCAGCTTTCCGTGCTGTTGGTCTTATCAATTAATCTTCAATCCATTGATACATGTAATAGCGCAACGTTATTTCAACCTTAGTCCGTTATCCTATTCTTTTTTTCAATTTAAATTGATTTTTAATTTATATAATACAACGCTGTGCAATGCGTTTAACCCTGAGTACAAAAAGTCAGTATACACGTTCTTATATTATAAGACTTATAAGCTTTAGTTTAAGAGGTAATAGAACAAACAAACATAAGAATGTCCGCTTCAAAGTTTTGAAACAGAAGTCAACAGGAAGCTATGTACGGCAACAAGGATCACAGTATGAAACCATTTTATAATTTAACTAGCTATGTCAGCGACTTCGTCCGCATAGAATAGTTCTAGGCATCCAAATTTTGTTTTTGAAAACCTTGTCTTCATCGTCATAAATTTAAGCTGTTACCCATGATATCTTTCGCGTTCCCTAGTTCCTGCAAATTTTTCTTAAAAAATAGATTTATAGGGGCGCGGGCCTTTTTTTTAGATTATTAAAGGGGGATTATTCCCCCCCCCCCCC